AACCCGACATGGGGCTCGTGAGATCATGACCTCAGCCAAAGTCGGATGCTTAACCAACTGAACCACCCAGGGGCCCAGAATGTAGCAGAAATCTTAGTGGCAGTAAACACATGAACAAAATACAGGAAATGCTCCTTTAGGTTAAAGTGTCTCTGTCTCCGTCCCTGTCTCAGTTACATACACTCAGCTTACACAGAATAAGTCAAATTCCACCTCATGGGAATGTTCATGTCTCAGGTAACATTTCGGACCCTGGTTTACAGAGCACAGTTAGATGATTATTCTAGCAGTTTGCACATGTGGGAAATTAATTATTCCAAGTCTGTAAGAAAGAGTTTTTACCAAGTAGTACATGCAACACATACACACACACTATAATGTAAGTTTTAACTCCAGTTGAAGGTGCAAAGAAAGGAAACTGGTATCTTCATTCAAAAACACAATGTTTTAGTTTAACTGAATTCTTACCCCCAGAAAATGTGTCTTCCATGGGTCTCTAAACACCCGAGTTTTCACACTATCTTGCTTCTTGTGAATTCACAGAAGCAAGAAAGGCACATTCCCCCCACATCTTAACAGAAATCCTTGGCATTTCTGAATCAACAGTGGAACAATAGCATGAGCTAAAGCTGGGGGCAGAAGGGAGATAGGTGTGTTCAATGACCTAAGAGAAAGTGGGTGGCCCGACTGTTGCGGGGGTGAGCGGAGAGTGAGATGTTGCCAGGGAGGTGGGCAGGGCCAGTTGTGTGGGGCCTCAGATGCCACTTTAAGCATTTTGAAAGCAAAGCAAAGGTCATCAAAGGACTCGCTGCGGGGGGGGGGGGTGGGGGGGACATGATAACATTTGACTTTCACATTAAAAAAAAAAAGTAGTTCCTATTCACCATATATTCCTAAGAAGGGTGGTTTCAGGGCTAGAAAATTGGGTCATTGAAGTTGCTTACTGCTTGTCGGAGAAGCAGGAGTTGGAGAGATGCTCCATAGGCCAGCGAGGAAAAAGTAAGACCCAAGTAAGAGAGTATGGGTTAAAGAGTTTATTTCTTGTCTACTTTTTTTCACAAGTACAACTCCACTTCTCTTTCCTGTATGCAAGGTGTATCTGTAGATTATCACACCATCTTGGACACTTTCTAGCATCCTCAATGGAAGCATGCCTTTGCCAACACCTTGGTCTTAGACTTCCAACCTCCAGGGCAAAAAGAAAGTAAATTTCTATTGTCCCAGTTGTCCAATTTATGGTACTTTATTAAGGCAGCCCTGGCAAACCAAGACAGTGGGCGATAAACTGCTATACTATTTGTAGTATTTGGACCTTGGTGATCAACAGATCATGGCTATTTTCCTATCACATCCCAGGTGTTACAGTTACTTCAAAATAAAACTTATGCTCATCAGTACTTTAAAATCACAGTTGTTAGTGGAGTGCCTGGGTGGTTCAGTCATTTAAGCCCCTGACTCTGGATTTCAGCTCAGGTCATGATTTCACTGTTTGTGAGTTGAAGCCCCACATCTGGCTCTGTGCTGACAGCACGGAGCCTGCTTGGGATCCTTTCTCTCCTTTCCTCTCTGCCCTTCCCCTGTTCTCTCTCTCTCTCTCTCTCTCAAAATAAATAAACTTAATTTAAAAAATAAATAAAATAAAATCACAGTTGTTATTAAACCCACTGCTAAATCGTGTTATGTAACACATTAACAAAGGAAGTGCATGTGTTATTATGTCACAATTTGTAAAATTCTTTGAGAACTGTTTATTGGTTTTCTTTATACCCCTATGTATTTTATGTTACGTATTTTAATACATTATTCTGAGAAGGGCTTATAAGATTGCCAAAGGGGTCCCTGGCACAAAACAGATTAAGAATCCCTTCTTTGGGGCACCCGGATGGCTCAGTTGGTTAATCATCTGACTCTTGTCTTTGGCTCAGGTCATGATCTCACAAGTGTGGGATCTAGACCTGTGTCAAGCTCCATGTGCTGAGCTTGGAGCCTGCTTGGGTCTCTCTCTCTCTCTCTCTCTCTCTCTCTCTCTCTCTCTCTCGCTGTCTCTCAAAATAAATAATTTAAAAAAAGAATCCCTTCTGTTTTTATATTTATTTTTTTGGACAGCACAAGTGGGGAAGGGCAGAGAGAGAGGGATAGAGAATCTGAAGCAATCTCTGTGCTGACAGGTTGACAGCAGCCAGCCTGATGTGGGGTTCTAACTCATGAACCTGATCGTGACCTGAGCCGAAGCTGGATGCTCAACCAACTGAGCCACCCAGATGCCCCAAGAATCCCTTCTTTAAGAAGAAGAGACACAGTATAAAGATATATCTCCACACCTCAGACCCCCTTTCCCATCCCAGAGTTCTGGGAGGTGGAGGACGGGGCAGGGAGGTAGTGTGTTCAGGGAATTGTTTTTCCAGTTAGAGACTATTATGTGACTAAAAGTGCTGTGCAAATTTGTCCTGATACACGACAAACCAGGTGCAGAGACCTCCCCTACTCCATCCCCACACCCAAAGGTGGAGGCTTGGTTTATTTCACTTCTGGGCTCCCAGATGTATTAGTCTGGGTTCTTCAGAGAAGCAGAACCAGTAGAAGTCCCAGGATCTGCAGTTGGCAAGCTGTACACCCAGGAGAGCCTGTGGAGTGAGTTCCAGGGTGAGTCTGAGACCAAAGGCAGAAGGCTAATGTCCCAGCTTGAAGGCAGCCAGGCAGGAGGATTTCTCTCTCACTTACAGGAAGCTCAAGCCTCTTTGTTCTGTTTAGGTTTTCAACCGATTAAAGGAGGCCCACCCACACTGAGGAGAGCAATCTGTTTTACTCTGTCCATGAAGTCAAACGTTATTCTCATCTGGAAACACTCTCACACACATAACCAGAACAATGTTTGGCTGAATATCTGGGCAGGCCATGGCCCAGTCAAGTTGATGCATAAAGTTAAGCCTCACATCACAGTACGACTAAGCTGTGCTTAGAACACCACTGATGCTTACATAAATATTTGTGGAATGAATGAATGAATGAATGAACAAAAAGGCGTGGTAGAAATATCCAAATGGGGCCAGCTGGGAAGTGGAAAAGCAGCCCAGGACCTAAACTGTCTTCCATGGGGAGAAGGAACCTCCACACCTGGTTTCCCAAGGATAAGAGGGAGAAGGAACAAGGCTTCGGTTCGCTTCTGAGCACACAGTTTGCTTCTGATTGACTCCCTGGAAGCCACAGGACTGCTTATGGCCGTGCAGGCTAACTAAACCTCGGCGGAGGGACTGCTAGCTGGGCAACCTTTGCACAATGCTGGCCGCCAACATACCAATGGACAAACATAAGACCCTCAAAGGAGATCCTGGCATTCGATGCAGATTCCACAGACATCAGGATGCTGGGGACCACACAACAAGGATCTGGCTTACACCAGGAGACTTCAACAAACTCCCCCCGCTCTACATGCCCCGTCTCTCTTCCACACAGGTGCTGCCTCCCAAAGATCCTCAGGGCCCTGAGGGACACGGAAGATGGCTCTCAGGCAGATGACTCATTGGGTCACACGCCCCTTTGAAGGGTGAATCCTATCTCATTGCTGCCTCCCCCCTGCCTACTGCTAAACTCCTGCACCGGACACATCAGAAGGGTTGGCTGTGAATGATCCAGACTCCAAACCCCAAGAGGCAGAGGACGAAACTTCCTTCAAAGGACTTGAGGGGAGTAAAAAGGCTGTGAAGTCTGCAGATCACTGTTTGCAACTTCAGGGACGGCAGGAGGAGCCCCACTGAAAACTCTCAGGAAGTGTCACTGAAGCCAGCGGCTGCAAGATAACCAGAGTGCAGGTCGGCGTGGGACCGAAAATCCAAATGTGACCTCCTCAGTGATGAAGGAGTGGCTTCCCTCTTTGGGAGGATCCTATTTTCCACGTGACTGCTTTCTTGAAGGTGCCACTTTGCCCAGCCACACCCCTTCCCCCCGCCCCCCCCACAGAGGAAAATGTTAGCAATAAACTGCACTCTGGAGATTAATGCAGCAGCTGGCATACAGCAGGGCCTGTCCAAGAAGTGAGCAGAGAAGACCACGGGCTGGCCCTGCCACTCCCTGGGCTAGCGCTTTCCGGCCAGTGGTTGCCATAGCAAAACTCGTTCAGCAAAGGGGTAAAGAAAGAGAAAACTGGGTGCGGATCCTTTCGTACAGCAGTGCATTAGAGCCAAGATAAAGAACAGGAAAATGTGGCTGTTGCCACAATCCAAGTGGTAGCAAATCTGTTTCAGTCAAGATCTCTCAGTCTGGGGATAAACTTCGGTAGGATATTTCTCAGTCTTCGGGTTTCCTGGCAGTTTGTTCATACTCACTTATATAAATAAGCCGTCGGGGCACTGTTATGGGTTGCATTGTGTCCCCCACCCCCAAATTCATATATTGGAGTCTTAAGCCCCAAGACCTCAGAAGGTGATATATTTGGAGACAGGGCTTTTAAAGAGGTGATGAAGGTAAAATGAGATCATTAGGCGGGGCCCTCATCCAGTATGACTAGTGTCCTTCTAGGAGGAGGAGATTAAGACACAGACACACACACAGGGAGGACCATGTGAAGACCCAGGGAGAAGATGGCCATCTATTAGCCAAGGAGAGACGTCTCAGGAGAAACCAATGCAGCTGACACTTTGATCTTGGACTTCTATCCTCCAGAATTGTGAGAGAATAAATCCCCCATGTTTAAGCCACTCAGTCTGTGGCAATGTGCTATGGGAGCCCTGGCAAACTCACACAGGGACCCCACAAAAAAGAACATGAGCACATCCTCATTAATCCTCATTATCCATTCAAAGGAGTCCCAGGCAAGATGGATTCCTACTCTTCCCCGCAAGTCTCCAGCCAATTCTGTAATTTCTAAATTTTACTGTCATAGCTCCCCACCCCTCGTTTCAACTTTGACACTAAATGGGAATCCAATTAAAACTTGTCTGTTCTTCAGATCCGCATCCCCATCTGAATGCCTTCCCCATGTACAAGTCCCAGAGATGCCTCACCTGATGGGGACTGAAGGACTGGAGGAAATGAAGAGATGGTTGGAAGCAGCTCTTTGTACTTATCCACACGGAGCTGGAAAGGCATCAACCATGTGACATTTCCATTCTCTTGGAAATCCCAAGAGACACTGAGGGGCCACTTGTGGTTGTTCCCATCCTACAGATGAGAAAGCAAAGTCACAGACAATAGAATAGCTTAAGACATTGTTTTCCAGCCCCTGATGGTAGGCATAGTCTGGTGCTCGCATAAACTTTTGGTGTAAAGGGTTTATGTGTGTGTGTGTGTGTGTGGGTGGGTGGGTGTGGGTGTGGGTGTGCATGTGTGCATGCAATGCATATGTTGAAATAGCCACCTAACTTGTGTCTGCATTTCCAGGCTTGGCCACCTCCAATCTCCCTTCCACATTGCATCTAATGAAGGTTTCTATAGATTATGTCTGATATTATCACTTCCACATTAGAACCTTCCAGTGACTCCCCATTGCTCTCAGGACGAGTTTGAAATGCCAAGCATAACCAAGAAACCTCTGAAGTATCTGACCCTGGCCCCCCACTCAGGCTCCATATCCCTCCAAAGGTGCCAAGCTTCCCTCCCTCTCCTCCCTGGCCTTTCCTCTGGAAACCTCCTTTCTCCACAATTCACCTGGCCAACTCTTTCCCATAGGTCAGTCTCATCTTAGGTAAAACATCTTCCAGGAAGCCCTCCCCCATCCCATAAACTAGCTTCAATGTCCCTCTGTGGACCTCCCCTGCATTCCAGCTTTCCTGTTCCTTGTACTGTATTATACTGTTGGCTTGTCAGTCTCCCCTCTGGAGTATCAGCTTGGTGATAATGTCTGTGTCTTGTTCTCTGATATATCCCCAGGGCTAAGCACGGCATGTGGCACACAGGAAATGCTCACTGTATATTGGTTTAAATGAATTTTGAATGGAAGTTAGGTATATGGACATCTGGGGCAGGAGAAAAAGGAACCATCCTCGTTCTTATGTTTGGGCATTTCCATGGGTATGACTCAGAAAGAGAAATGTTAAAAAAAAAAATACGCTTCGATTTTGAGTCCAGCAGAGTTTGACCTTACACCAACTTTCAAGCAGGGAAACTAGAATTCTGGGTCCAGTGAATAATTATTTCCCCTTCCTTATTTACCACTCATATCCCATCATCCAAAACTTAGACATGTGGCCACACATTGCTGCCAGGAAGACTGGGAAATGCAGTCTTTATTCCTAGGTGACCATATGCTCTATGAACAATCATCTTATGCTGGAAGAAAGGAAGGCTGGATACGGAGGGACAGCTGGTAGCCCTTTGCTCAGCATCCTCAGGTCTCCATGGCAACCTCTCCTACCCACACAGCCTGCACCCTGGGTCAGAGTTCACAGAACCGCCTGGCATGAGTGACAGCAGCAAAAAGCCACCACGCTTCATTCCAAGTCTTCCAGGACCCACTACATGTGACATGAGCCATCCAATGGGAAAACTGGGAAGCCATATATCTTTCTTCAGATCCCACTGACCCTTTGCATCATCTCTCCCCCCCCCCCCCACTTCCTTTCTCTCCTTTTTTGAAAGTTTATTTATTTTGAGTGGGCAGAGACAGAGGGAGAGAGAACCCCAAGCAGGCTCCACGCTCTGTGCAGAACCCAACAAGGGGTTCCATCTCACCACTGTAAGGCCGATACCTGAGTTGAAACCCAGAGTCTATCGCTTATCCTACTGAGCCACTGAGGCACCTCTCCCCTACTCTCTTTCTCTTATACCACATTATCTGCAACTTGAGAGGCATCAGGTCTAACAAAAAGATCACTAACTTTGACCCAGCAGACCAGGGTTTGAATCTTGGATAAGCCACTTACAAGATATATGGCCTTAAATATTTAACCTGTCTGTACCTCATTTTCCCATCTGTAAAATGGGGATTATAAGATCTCGTGGGAACTGTGTTAAGGACTAAGTGGCTCGTAGTAAGAGCTCAATAAATGGCAGCTACTGTTATCACAATGATTCACTTGGTCACTGAGGTCACTGCAGCTGCCTTCCACGTAATCACCCAATAAGCAGAGTTTATTAAAAAAGCCTCTGTGCCAGGGTTAAGCCACATGGTTTTCAAAGAATCAATATGTTAAGCTACCCAGCATAAGCAGACAGGTTATAAATACAATTAGATTTCAAAGACTGTCCCAGATTGGCAGAGACCTCTGTACTCCCTGGTTTATCATTTTTCTGTGTGTTGCTAATATTGCTAATAATAGCAGTGATAGCTGTCATTTGTCAAGGGTCCCCCGTGTGCCAGACCCTGTGCTTTTCGATCCTCATGGTGGACCCAGGAGGCAGGCTTTCTCAGTCTCCTTTCACAAGTGAGGAGACGGCTCAGAGGGGAAAGCGATTTGCCCCAAGTCACCCAGAGCCAGCTTGGTACTCAGATTCAACTCTAAAACAGCATTTTGTATTTATTCATCTGCTCCTTCTTATACTTCTTTATAAAAAAAAAAAAATTCCCTCAAAATGATGAGTACAAATCACCTGTTACCACACAACTCTCTCCTCTCGAAGTCTATAATGAAGAAGTAAGTGAGAGCCACCGCCAGGCTTGCCGATCCCTCCCACGTAGGGAACCACTCTTAGAAGCCTGTTCTTCATGCCTATGCAGTTTAATAGTCTTTCAATTGTCATTCCCACTCGCTTTCAAACAAGTCATTTCAAACAGGAGGAGCTAAAACTGCCAGGTTCAAACCTGCCAGGAGAAATGGCTTACACACCACACTCGCTGGCTTCAGTGGGTATGTTTCTTCCATTCGTGTGTTCAGTCACTCCTTTATCCGTTCAGTAAACACCAACCAAGCACCTCACACTCACCAAGAACATCTTAGGCACCTGGAATACAAAAATTAGTAAGATTCAGGCTCTCTCTTGGAGAAATCATTAGCATACATAGGAAGCCCATTCCCCGTCACAACACAAAAAGGAAAGAGGTGTAACGTGTCAAAATGAAGGTCAAAATGAGGACAAAGCCAGGGAAAGAGACACTTGAGTTTAGAATAAGAGGATGCACGGACTACACACGACCAGGGGGTGCGTCATCCCAAGCAGAGGCCAGTAGGAGGGAAGGTAGAGGCCTCTTGTGTGGTTAGGACACCATGGAAGGCAGTGGGAAAGTCACTCCAGCCTTGAATAACATTCCTATTTGACTGCACCTGACCTTTCAAGCGGCTATAAGGCCTCTTCTTCTAGAAGGAAGATAGATGTTCCACTCATAGACATGTTAGCTACTGAAACTAATATAACACTGTATGTTAACTATACTGGAATTAAAATGAAAACTTATGGATAAGTAAGTAAATAAGATGCCAACATTTTAAAATCCATTATTAGGAATATGTGACAATAGGAAGACATGAAGTATTACCAACACGTGCTACAACATGGATGAATCTTGAAAACATTATGCCAGGTGTAAGAAGCCAGTCAGAAAAGGCCATATACTGTTTGATTCCATTTATACAAAATGCCCAGAATAGGCAAGTCTATTGAGACAAAGTAGATTCGCGGTTGCCTAGGGGTAGTGGGTGTTGAGAGGAAATGGAAAGCGACTCTGGGGCATATGGGGGTTTGGGGGGAGGAGATAAAGGAAATGTTTTAGTATTGATTGTCGTGATGGTTGCACATTCTGTGAATATACTAAAAACATTGAATTGTATACTTTAAATGAATGACTTATATGGTATGTGAATTATGTCTCAATAAAGCTTTTTAATTTTTTTAATATTTATTTATTTTTGAGAGAGAGAGAGCGAGCATGAGCAGGGGAGGGGCAGAGAGAGAGGGAGACACAGAATCCAAAGCGGGCTCCAGGGTCTGAGCTGTGAGCACAGAGCCTGACGCAGGGCTTGAACCTATGAACTGCAAGATCATGACCTGAGCTGAAGTCAGATGCTCAACCGACGGAGCCACCCAGACGCCCCTTGTTGTAATTGTTACTTTCTCATAACCTCACTTTGGACATAGGGACAAAAAAATCTGCTTTTGAATTTGGGTTACATTGAGAGTCCATTGGCCAGTCAACAAACCAAATCTATTTTTCTCTTTCCCTGGTTTAATCCAGAGGTTACCTGGAGGACCTTGTCTTCAAACTGCCTCCATCAGAATCACCTGGAGTGCAGGATACAAATGCAGATTCCCAGGCACCATCCAAGCCCAGTGAATCAAAATCATGGGACATGCATCCCAGGAATCTAGACTTTAATTCTGATATGTACCAAAGTTGAAGGACTGTGCTCTACACAATGATTCTTGGCTTGTAACTTCCTCCATTGCATGATGCTGAGCCCCAACCGATTTTGAGTGCAAACTGATCCCAAATAGACCCAGACTGCTGAGACCACAGATTTACATCAAGACATACCTGATGTGGAAGAATCTCTGTAAAGAGAGATAAAAATAAATGCAAACTAAGTGTGTGACTATTGTAGGTGAGGTGTGAGAGGCAGACAGTCTGAATGGGCCAATGGAAGGTTTCACAGAAAGGCTAAGGACAGAAAGAAGGGGATGGCTAGCTTGTGTTCCAGATGTGCAACTGGCCACATGTAGGATGTCAGTCCCAAATCTGATGAGCTGGATGACCTCAGATTTAACTCCTCTAATCTCAGTGGTGGGTTGGGTCACCTAAGAACATGCCAGATCTTCCCAACCTACAGTACATCCTTCTGACCTCTGTGCCTTTAGCCTCATCACTACCCCTCTCTGAGTTCAATCTCTTCATGTATAAAATGATGGGTTTGATCCTGATTGTCTAGGGATTCTTTCCCCCCTCTGACATCATGTCATACAAGATCAAATGACTTTTGGGAAATATTGGGATGGTTTCTACTATGGTTTTGACCCCCAGGATTAAAACAAGAAAGGATATGACCTGCATATTTCAAGATCCATTTGATTGAGGTATATTTTACCTCTGATAAAATGCACCCATTTTAAGAGTACATGTTGGTGAGTTTTGACACATACAACCTTTGGCGCTACCGCAATAATCAAGATAAAGAGCATTTCAATATCCCCCCAAAGTTCCCCATGCTCCTTCCTAGACAATCCCTCCTCAGTGTTTTCTATCACTATAGATTGTATTTGTCTTTTCTAGAATTTCATATGCTGAAATAATT